CCCCTTGAGCCTGGTGGAACAGGGGGTGCCAGTCCTGTCTCTCCTCCTGCACCCTGGAACTGGGAAAGGTGAAGGACTGGGCAGGCTGTGGGAGGGGGAACCTCGTTATCCAGGCTCCTTCATTAGCAGAGGTGCCAGAGGCCACAGCCCATATGCTTTTTGTGCCCAAAACCTCTTCAGGGCAGCCTAATCCCCCTTCTTTAATTGCTTTCCCCCTCCCAATCGAGATGCAGCTCGATTGTGATCTTAATTAGGGGAGCAAGTACCTAAAAAAGAAAAGGGCAGCAATGGGTGTTGGAGGAGGGATGCCCAGCCAGACCCTGCAAAACCCTCGTGTGCTTTCCTCTCCTGGTGCCCCTGTTCCCCTCCAGCACTTTGGGGTGTCCCTGGCTGTGGGCAATCCCTGGGAAGAGGAACGCTCCTCTTGGGGGACCGGGATGTGCAGCCTGCACCTGGATCACTGCTGGGATGGTCAGCAGGAAGGTGAGAGAGCTCCCTGACACCAGCACATCCCAAATATCCATCTATCCCACAGGAAAGCAGGGAGGAGCTAATCCAGAGTCACCCCTGGGACACCTGGGTGTGACACTGCCCAGTCCCTGCACACATTTCTCAGCACGGGCAGCTCGGGCTGTGCTCTGCTGAAATCAGTGGTGGTTTGTTCCGTTTCCTCTGCGAGAAAAATACTTCTTTTGGCCTTATCTGGATTGAAAAGACGATTCAAAGCTTATAAATAGCAGTTGCAGCATATGCTAAGGAGCTGTGTTTCAGAAGTAAATACCCTGCTGCTTCCTCGCCGTCTCCTCTGCCTCCCCCTGTCTGGCCAAAAGCACTGCCAGGTGACTTGCAAACCCTGCACCCCCTTCAGACCTTCCTCCTCCTTTACATCTTCGAGCAGCCAGTAATTAATATCTCCATGATGGCTTTGCCTGCCTAATTATCTTCTTTGCTCAAAATAAGAGTCTTCCTAAATAACTCGTGCGGCGCTGCGGGCGTCACGAGCCGCCGCGCAGCAGGGCTGGCCTCTCAGCTGCACTTTGGAGAAGTGCTTCTCATGCTGCTGCTGCGGCTCCAGAGCTCGGGAGGCTGCTCTTCCATGAATAAAACTGGGCAAGAGGTGGAGCTGGATGGGTTTGTGCACAGGGGAACAGTGCCAGAGTGCTGGCAGGAGCAGGATTGGGGCAGCATTTCCAGGGATGCCGGCTCCAGCTGCAGCCCGTGGCTCTCAGGCTCTCTCCTCACCTGAAAACCCAGAGCCAAACACGTTTGGAGGAGAGAAGGAATTCCAGTGTGTGACCAGAGCCTCTTTCCAAAGCCAAACAGCAGCTCAGGGCATTTCTCCAAGGGCTGGAAACTTGATTGCCTGTTAAAGGAGGATGGCTGCTCCCTCCAGGGCTATGCTCCCTCCCAGGGACTGTCTCTCCCTCTGCTCCTGCAGGGGTTTCAGAGACCTCTAAAAATCCCACAGGTACAAATTCCTGCTGGTGCTGTGGAGGGGCAGCAGCATTTGGGTGAAATGGGTGGAGATGGGAGGCGAGAGGCAGCTCCTCACAGGTGGCACATTGCCATCTAGCTGGCATTTGCTGCTTATTTTCCTTGCAAACCAAGTTTCCCTGGCACTGTGCTGCCCAGCGGGGTGGGAAGCATCCCTGGTGGCTGGGGACCCCGGGGACCTGCTGCTGTCACAGGGCACCAGCCAGGGGAGCCAAAAATGAGGTGACAGGAGCGAATTCCCCCTCCCCAGACTCCTGCCTGGTCCTCTCAGCTCACAGCACACGCTGGTCCAACAGCACCAAACCATCCTTCTGCAGCAAATACACATTTCCCACTTCTCCTGCCTCATCCCTTCCACCTCCTCAGCAGTTCTTTGGGGATAAACCCGCTGCAGGAAGAGTCCTGCTCTGTCAGGGCACTGCTGAGTCCCTCTGCCAGGGTCTCCCAAGGGCCCTGGGATGGCAGTGGGTGCCCACCCCAGCCCTGCACACCCTCACAGCAGCACTGCTGGCAGGTCTGATGGGAAGAGCTGGCTCCATTAAATTCCCAGTGATCCCAGAGCCAGCCCAGATGCCTTCACTCACTATCTGCTGTGTTGGTTCCCTGCCTGCTCCCTGCCACTGGCTGCGTTCAACAGGCTGCTGGAGAAGTGTCCAGAACCACAAACCTGAGCCTCCCATGGCTGGTCCCACCTGTCCTCCCACCTCAGCCAGGTCCCTGCCCATCTCTGGGGGGATTCCACCCGCTTCCCCCAGCCTGGGGGTTCTCAGTTTTCCAAAGCACCGACTCCAAGCACACGCTCACATTCCCCCTGTCACCTCCCTGCTCCCTGCAGGTGCCACACTGGCTCAGGCCACCTTGCCTGGCTGGCAGCGGGCACTGCAGCTCCCTCGGGCTCCACAGACACCACAAGGTTTGCTGGTGGGGCTCTGGAGCACAACTCAGCAAAGGATTAAAGAGCAGGGTGCAGGCAGCCAAGCCCACATGAGCTGCAGCAGGGCCAGACAGGACCTACCCTGGAATTCAGGCTGGGATGGCAGCTCAGATCCTGCTGGAAAAACCCCAGCACACCCAGGCTGGAGCAGGAAGGAGCTTGGGGAAACCCAGATAAATGCTGCATTTCTCCAGGCTGGGGCAGCTCTCCTCCTCCCACCCTTGGCATGGGAGGAGGGAAACCCACAGGCAGGTGGGACAGACAGGAGGGAGTTATTCAATCTTCCTCCTCCTCCTCCTCCCGATGGATCCTGCCACGGCAAAATCCCTCTCCCTGCGCCTCTCCTGGGAGCATCTCTGAGGAGTGAGGCCTGGCAAAACCCTGATTTGTGGGTGCTGCACCCAGGCTCCAACACCAGAGACCCCCTGCACCCCCGTGTCCCCCAAGGGACTGACAGCACCAACACCCCAGCGCTGTCCTGACGTGCACAGACAGGCTCTCCAGGGGAAATTGAGTGCAGGTGACTAATGCAGCAGCCCTGAATCACCCTCCAGAGATGTGGGGGAGCTCAGCCACACTCCCCAGCGGGGCTGATGGCTCCAGTCAGGCTGCACGGATCCCCTCCCTGCTCCCAGCCCGGGGAATGGGTACAGCAGCTCTTGCCTGGATTTACAACTTGGCTGCTAACCATGGGGGAGTGACAGTCTCATCCTGCACATTCACCCAGCCAGTGTCCTCAGGGGGTCTGGGCCATCCCGTGCTGTCCCCAGAGGTGTGACACCAGCACTGCCACCTCCCCGCTCTGCTCCTGGCACCGCTGTGCCTCTGCCAGCCCAAACCCCACTGCACCTCTGGCAAAACAGCCTCAGTTTTGCCTGACACCTGTTAATGCTGCAGGAAACGCTTCCTAACACCAGCCTGGGTGAGAGAAACACCCGCCGGCCCCGGCACCGAGCCAGGCTGCTTCCAGCACCCAGCACCCAGGATCCACATCCAGCACCCAGGATCCACATCCAGCACCCAGCACCCAGGATCCACATCCAGCACCCAGCACCCAGGATCCAGCACACAGCACCCAGAATCCAGCACCCAGCATCCAGAATCCACATCCAGCACCCAGGATTCACATCCAGCACCCAGGATCCAGCACCCAGCACCCAGGATCCACATCCAGCACCCAGCATCCACATCCAGCACCCAGGATTCACATCCAGCACCCAGGATCCACATCCAGCACCCAGAATCCACATCCAGCACCCAGCACTCAGGATCCAGCACCCAGCACCGAGAATCCACATCCAGCACCCAGGACCCAGCACAGCCGAGGGATAAATGCAGAATGCAGCACCCTGGGCAATTTCCACGCGAGTCACCCAGGGAAAAGCTGCTCTCCCCAGTGCTGTGGGCCACACACCCCCCTGGCCCTGCAGCTCGGACGGGATAATTAGAGCAGCTAATGACCCAAAGCCGGTTAAAGTCCCCGTTAAGTGCCCGGCCGGGCCAAACGCGGCTTAGCAGAGATGTTCTCCCCGGCAGTGGCAGAGCTGTCGCCTCTCCGCGGAGAGCGTGACCCCGACACCAGCGTGGGCACAGCGGGTGTGCCAGCCTGGGGCTGGCACCCAGCACCTCTCGCAGGGCTGTGCCCAGAGGGGGACACAGGGACACCCCCCCAGGGGCTTCTCCAGCTCCGGGCAGAGCCAGGCAGCGGCTGCCTTGCGGGAAGGACGTTTTGGGTGGGGAGGGGTTAACCCTTGCTGCAAACACCTGCATCCAGCACAGGCAAAGCCCTCTGCTCCAAAGGCCCCCTGCTCTCCTGCAGGGCTCTGCGAGGAACGGAGGGATGACACGGAGAGTTTGCTAAGGGAGAGGGCAGAGCTCTCCTGGCCGATGTCATTCCCGATAAATCTCCCCGCCCGTGGAGCCGGGAGATGCTGGAGCGGATCTCCAGCTCCATCCATCAGCAGGGCCGGAATACAAGGCAGGAGAGCTGGAGGCACGGAACCGAGCAGGGACGAGGCAGAGAAGTGCACCGACCACGACAGCAACTGGTGGCTCTTGGGAGACTTCCCTACTTTGGGTTCAGCAGCCAGCCCGGCTGCGACACCGACACTCCCCACCTACACCTGGGGGCTTCTCACCGCTGCAGGGCGATGCCAGGCACGGCCACACACCTGGAAGGCTTCCCCAAAATGGGCAACCATCCCTAACCATCCCCACCTACACCTGGGGGCTTCTCAGCGCTGCAGGGCGATGCCAGGGACGGTCACACGCCTGGAAGGGTTCCCCAAAATGGGCAACCATCCCTAACCATCCCCACCTACACCTGGGGGCTTCTCAGCGCTGCAGGGCGATGCCAGGGACGGCCACACGCCTGGAAAGGTTCCCCAAAATGGGCAACCATCCCTAACCATCCCTAACCATCCTCACCTACACCTGGGGGCTTCTCACCGCTGCAGGGCGATGCCAGGGACGGTCACACACCTGGAAGTGTTCCCCAAAATGGGCAACCACCCCTAACACCCACCCACACCCTCAGCACCGAGCAAACTCCCACGGAAACTTAAGAACTCACTGCAATCGTCGGACTCGTAACCCTCGGGGTCCACCACCTCCTCGGGCGCTTGGCTCTTGGCCGGCTGCTCTGCGGGCGTCGTTCCGTGGGCTCCGAAGAGCTGGTCCACATCCTCCTCCTCCTCGTGGCGGGGATGCTCGGCGGGGTCACCCGTGGGCTGGCGGGGCGTGGGGCGCGGGGCGCTGCCGCTGCTGCGGCCGCCGGCGGCGGGGAGCCCGCGGGGGAAGCGGGGGAAGTAATCGGAGATCTGCTTGATGGGTTTGATGGGGCCGGGGCAGACGTCAATGGCCATGTGCTCCTGGATGCTTATGGTCATTTTTTCTCCTTTTCGGAGTGTCATGCATGCGGCTGTCGCTGCCAAGCACCCCCCTCCCCTCTCCCGGAGAGCGTGCGGGAGAGGGAAGTTTGTGCCCGGGGATGCGGGGGGAGGTGGGGAGGATGGATGCTCCGGTGGGTTCCTTTACGTGGTTGTCGCGCCCTGAGCCCCGGTGGCCGCACTCATGCTGCTGCTGCCAGCCCTGGCGCCCGCACAGCCCCCGGTGCTGCCGGCGCTGCCGGGGAATAAATGAGCGAGAGGAGAGACGGATAAGAGCAGGGGGTGGGCTCTCGGGTGATGTCACCAGCTAGCAACAAAGCGGTGCCCAGCAGCCCAGGAATGAGGGCTGGGGCCGGCCTGCCACCCCGGCCACACGGCCACCAGCCCTGCCCCTTCCCCAGCCCGGCACAAGTTGGGGTGATGATGGGGTGATGGGTGAGGGGAGGTGGGATTTGATTCATCTCCCTGGCAAAGCTGGGCTGGTGCCCGCTCCGGGAGGCTGAGGTCACCGGGCAGGGGCAGGAGCCGGTGTCCTGCTGTGTCACATCCCGGTGCGATGTGGAGAGGGACCGGGACAGCTCCAGGGACCGGGACAGGGACCGGGACAGGGACTGGGACAGCTCCAGGGACCAGGACAGCCCCTGGGACCGGGACAGCTCCAGGACAGGGACCGGGACAGCCCCCAGGGACCGGGACAGCCCCAGGGACCGGGACAGCCCCAGGGACCGGGATAGCTCCAGGGACCGGGACAGGGACCGGGACAGCCCCCAGGGACTGGGACAGGGACCGGGACAGCCCCAGGGACCGGGACAGGGACCGGGACAGGGACCGGGACAGGGACAGGGACCGGGACAGCCCCAGCGACCCTGACAGCCCCTGGAACCCTGGCAGCCCCGCAGGCTGTGCCACGGAGATGCTGTGCCACATCCTGAGCCGAGGGCATGGATGGCATCACTGCCCATTCCCTGTGGTTCACAGGGGCAGGCACAGCCCTGACTCGGATCCCTGCTGCCCCAGCCCACAGCAATGCTCCTTGCAGAGCTCAGCACCAGCTGGACGAGCTCCTGGAACTGGGAACACAGCAGGGCTGAAGCAACACCTGTGCCCTGCTGGTGGCCCGGGTGGCACAGACCCTGCCAGCCAGTCTGTGGCTGGTACAGCATCACAGAGGGGCCAGGGATGGGCAGGGCCAGGGCTCAGTGCCACGGTGGCCACGCTCAGCACCCTCCTGCTCCTCCCTGGGCATGGCCAGAGCCCCAGCAGCAGCCAGGACAGGGACTGGCTCCTGCCACCAGCTCCCTGGAAAATGCTGAGCTGTGCTTTGCCCAGGGAGTTGGTCTCAAGCTGCTGTTTTTACTCATCCCCCCTGTGTTCAAATCAATAAATCTGTGGCTTTACAAGCTGCTGGAAGTGGACTTTTCAGCAAGGAGGGCCAGAAGAGAAACACTGTGAGAAAATGATAGAAAATCCTGCCCAAGTAACTCACCCTGCCCAGGAAAATGCCTCTGAAATATTTCAGAGGGGCAGCTTCTCTGCTGGCTCAGCTCTGGGGGGGTCTGGTGTGAGCCTGGGACACTTGGCATGCTCTGGTCACCCACCACCATGTCCAGCTGCCCACAGGTAACCTGAAACATCCCTTAGCCATGCACACAGAGCTGCAGTCTCCTGCAGCCTGGCACGCAGGTGATTATTAAACACAAAGCTCTGTTCTTCAGAGGATTCGCCCCAAATCCCAACAAAATGACACCCAACCTTTCTGCCTACAGCAGGGTTGGGTTTTCATTCAGATTTTGGTAAATGTTAATGCAAGTCTTTGAGTCACAACACACTGACACCAGGCAAACGAACCTCATTTACTCCTCACAGGGAAGTGAATGTTTCTCTCCTGAAGCATCCAAACTTGTCACTGCTCTGCACTGAGACACAAACACATCTGAGGATGATCTAATGACCTGGGAGAACAGGAGGCAGCTCACTGCTCCTTTGTGTCCTGGTGTATTTTCACTCTGAGGTGGCTCCTGCCCATCCAGTCTCAGACAGTTTAACCCTCTCCCCACATCCAAGGACTCCCAGGACATTAATTCAGATGGAAACACCTCCTGCTCTGCAGGTGGAGGTTGGAAATCTCACAGGTGGGCTCACATCACAGCAAGCACAAGGAGGTACCTCCGGATTTGGGGGTGTTCATCCACACAGGCTCCATCTTTGGGTGCAGCATCCAGGATGTGGTGTGCACTCAGACAGAACCAAGCAGAAATTGGGCCTGATGCCCAGAAAATAGCAGCAATTTCCTCTAAGAGAAGGCCAATAAATATATAAATAAAATCAAGTTACATGTGAGAGCCTAATGCCGTTACTACCATTACAAAAGCGTCATCGTTTCAAATGTTTCCTCAAAGACCCAAATAGGCAAGGATTGTTTTATAGGACAGAAAATCACGGCTCTGGGAATTAAGGTGAACCTCTGAGCTCTTCTTCCTCCTGCATCCACAGCCCACAGCCGGGGTCAGAGCCCAGCAGCACCCACTGGGAGAGGCTCAGCTCACCCAGGGGTTCAGAAGAGCAACAAGGGCACAAAAAATGCAGAATTGAAGCAGAAAAACTCCCTGAAGCAGGGCAGGCATGGCCCCCGAGGGACACCCCATCACCAGCCCTATAGACTGAGAGAAACCACAACCAAGACTCACTGGTTTGGTGACTGCTAACAGCCCAGATGGGACTGTGCTGTCCCTGCCCTATCCCAAACCTACAGAAAGCAGCTGGAGCCTTTCCTTAGCCTTTAATGAGTCCCAAAGCAGCTTGGTCTTGATAAACCACACTTTTCCTACCTTCCCATCCTGCCTGAGTGTTTCCTCCTGGGCTGCACAGCCCCATGTGTACCCAGGGCTCCCCAAATGTGCCACACACAAAGCAGAAGGTGAAAGAGGACAAAAATAGAAGACAAAAGCAGGGCTTGCAGCTACAAAGCCAGTTTCCAGGTAAAGCTCTTAATTCCCACCGTCTGTCTAATGCCCTGGAATGTGACTGGATTTGATCCCTGGCTCTGCCAGGGCCACCCAGAGCTGCTGCTCTGCCCACGCACGTGGCCCCTGCTGCCCTCAAAGGGGGAATTTGACTTCCTCACCTGCCCCCCAGCAGGGAGGAGAGACAGTTGAAATGTTAAAATGCCAATTTTGCAGGAAGCAAAGCCATTCTGTCAGGGAATAGCCATCCCTGTAGGAGGCAGGGACAGCCTTCAGGGAAGGGGGAGGTGGGTATCACAGAGCCAGCATCAAAGCAGGGATGGGGTGAGGAGGAAGAGCAATTGTTCCTGTCAAAATTCATGTTTTCTCCCAAATATCCTGAGCTCTGCACCTGCGACATTGTACTTGGGATGTGGGATGCAGGAACTGTCACTGCAGCTCCAGCCCAGGCTCTGACAACACCAAGGTTTTACTTTAAATGTTGTGCTGAACAGGAGCACAAGCACGAGTTTAAGTACATCCAGAAAGAGCCTGTGGCACTCACTCTTCCTGTGCCACAGCCCAGATTTCTCCTCTGGAACTTCAGAAGGGATGTTCCTACAGCCCCCAAAACTGCAGCACACGGATTAAACACACACCCCAAACCCACAGGTGTCCCCAGGACACACCCCAACCAATTTTCTAACAGCATTTGTCCTGCTGTTCCAGGTTTAAACCCACGAGAGCAGGGGCTGATTCCAGTTTGATCAATCCCTTCCCAAATGGAAAGCACAGCAGCAGGATGCACATCCCATTGCTTGCCAGGGATTCACCCACTGGTTCTTCATTTATTTCTTTGTCAACTCAAAATCCCTCTGAGCCCCCCTGCTCTGCTGGTGCTGCTGGAGAGAGCACAAGGAGATGATGCCAAATTAAAGCTTCACTACCTCTGGATCTCATCCTTGACCTCGGAGAGGTGGGACAGGTTTGTCAGTGTCCCACAGGCAGCATCAACCTGCACAACCCCAGCTGGAATTTTGCTTTTTCCAACCATTTCTAAGCCTCAAAATCCCCACAGCTGTAGGCAGGAGAAGGTGCCAGCAGGGACCACCAGCTCAACCTGGCTGCAGGGACAGAACTGGGGGGTATCAACAGTGCCAGGGGATGCCAACACTGCTGGAAGAGACCCCTCCATCCCCCTGGGGCGACTCAGGACTGCCCCAGCCTTCAGCTCCCCTGGCTGGGAGGTATGAAATGTATTTTTTATTTCTTCCAATGAGCTTAGCTCCAGCAGGGCTGTGTGCATGGGAAGGGGGTTATTGAAAAGCAACATGTGCCTGGCTCCTTGGCTGGCTCGGGGCTCTGTCTCCTGGCTGACACACAGCTCCTGGCAGCTTCCCCTCAAAGATCCCTGCCCTCCACTGCTGGGGAGGTGGATTGCACTCCTTACCTGGTCAAACAGCCTTTGCATTTGCTAAGTAAAGCAGTAATAATGATGATGATAACTGGGAAACTTGGCAAAAATAATCCTAAGGAGCTTATTCCAGGCTGTGGCGATTACAGCTCCCCAGCAGTGCTGATATCCCAATGCACCCCGGCCCCCGCTGCTCCTCTGCTTGGATAATATCTGAAGTTATCTGTGCTCCAACAGGCCCTGCTAACAACCATTATTTGACCAGATTCAACCAGCAATTACTAGCTGTGAACAAAATCACTGTGGTGGAATACAACCCACATCCTTTTACAACACAGACACAAACAAACCCTTGCAGAAAGCCAGGCAAGGGCCAAATGCCAGCAGGGAAGAGCCCTCTCCCCTCAAAATACAGATTAAGGCTCCCAGAGACTTTGTGAAACTCCCAACCAGAGGCAAAGGTGGATGGAATGTTCCTGGCCAGCATTTTGCTACCTGCAGATGGACCTGGAAAGGAGCTCCCAGGAGGAGGGAGGGAGGGATCAGCTCTCCCTGCATCTCCAGGATGGGCCCAGAATAGCTCTACTTTTGGTAGGGGCTGATGTTTAACGTTTAGCATATGCTGCCATTTCCATGGGAATCCCAAAATAGTTGGTGTTTTCTTTTGTAATTTTAATGCCCTCGGATTTTTGGAGCCCTGTGGAACGTCTGCCCTCCTGCTGGGGAGGGGACCTGCTCTGCTCTGCAGCCTGACACCCCACTGCCAACACTCCAGGCACCTGCCCATCGAGCAGGGGGGACAATCAGCTGCTGGAAACCTCAGCTCTGTGGAGCACAACTTAAATCCACCCAGGGATTCAGCAGGGTGGGTCTGTGCTGCATGAAA